GGCGGTTCAGTTTAGTAGACGCATAGGAAATGATATGTTTGGCGACACTGCATGTTCGTGGGTTATAAACGATTGTACTCGCAGCTCGCTTTAATCACGGTTTTCGTGGGCCGTCGCGCGTTGGGTTTTTTGCATGACAGGGTGGCAGCAACGGCTTGAGTCCATATTTCAGTTTTAACACTTTGCGTGGCAGTCGTTCATCTGTCAAGTGTTCTGACTGTTCAAGGCGAATGGCTGTTCTTGCATTGATACAAGATTTTACATGACGTTAGTTTGTTTGCGTGCTCACTTCGTTGTTGCTGATAATGTCTATCGAGTTGATACCCAAAATAGGAAGTCTCTATTTAATGAAGCGAGGTTTTTTCTGACTATGTGGACCGTCATCTAAGTTTTTGCAGAAATGGGAAATGGCAACAATGAAAACATTCTGATGGTGAACTGTTCTGGTTAAATTAAACATTTCCTTAGTTTTACTGATGGAATTTGAAAGTTTCCAATTAATCGTAAAGATCTAAAAGCAGTTCTGCATAGCCTGCAGATTCATCATTTAATTCTTTTTGCTACCTTATCAAACCATTAAGTGATATTTAATTGTTTAGTTCTCGTTTTGCCTTCGTTCTACCCTTAAGAAGTTCACTTTAATTCCTTCTTTGTTTGTATACTGTATCCGTTGATCTTGCTCTGCACTGTACTTTGCGTTGCTGTTTTTTGATGATCTCTGTTTTGAAGCCAAATCGTTAGAATAAAAATTTTTTTCGACACTTGTCTACAAATCAGTTTGTTGAAAGTTGCGCTTGAAAATAAAAATCATAAAAATCTCCATTTGTTTTTCCATGGTGTTAGCCATGGAATTACCACAAATGATGTTGAAGAAAATGTTCATTCATTTGGGCTGTGACAATGAAATCTTGTTCGAAGTGTAATAATTTTCTTAGGCTCGTGAAACGTTGCTGCTAGAACAACGACGCGTCAATACACTGAAGAAAGTGATCGAAAATCTGCGTGAAGAACCCTCGTCGTCCATTGCGACTTTTGGCCTGGGAAGTCTGACTTTTCAGGACGAAGTCTGCGACAGTTGGTTGACACCCAGTTATGAAAAGTGAGTGCTTACGTGTTGAGCATAGTAAACAGACTTAGCTCAGGTGCATGTTTTGTTTGACCAAAGATAAATACAGTTCTTGCGGCGTCTTAGTGTAATCTATTTAAAAAACAGATCCGGGTGCCAAAATGTTCGTTTTGTAACAGCATTATGCAGAGTATCTTGTTCTCCACAATATTAATATTGTACAAAGACAATAATAATAATTCTTATATAGCAGCTAGTAGATTTATTTCTCTAGATCATCTTCAGAAGATTTGAAGTAATTCAGACAAGCAACGAATAGCAGCTACCTCTCTGGTTTAGACTCGATGATTTAGAGGAAGTTTTCGATCCAGTCTACACCCGTCTGTTTTGGATGCCTTGAGAAATAATTGAATCCAGAACAAAATGCAGAGACCTTTTTGCCATGATTTAATAATGATGCAATTGCTAATTGGAAGCTTCGCATGCACAAACAGGTTCAAAATCGGAAAGGTTTTCCGATGGAGTGCTTCAGTGTCACCAGAATAATTCACCGCAAACCTAGAAGAGATTTTCAAGACACTCCATTGAAAAAATCAGCGACTGAACTGCTTAAGCCATCTGCGATTTCTAGACTAATTCCGACCCTCTCGAGATCTCCAGAAGAACTCCACAGAAAAATCTAAAGGGCTGAACGATTCCAGCATCAAAGCGACCAAAAATGAACCCGTGGAAGAGACTGAGGCCATGTTTAGCAAATACCTGACTGTGCGACCTATTCAAGTCAACGGAATTAGGCATAATAACATGCAAATTGGGCCTGTCTGGAACACCTCATTTTAGCAACGGAGAATCGATTATGTGAAGTCAATAGAAGAATAAAATGGCATGATTCAATTTTTGAAGATTGAAAATGTTCTTAAGCGGGAAACCGCCCTTGTTCTTGAAACGGAAAGTGTTCAATCAGGGCATGCTTTCAGTGCTAACCTGTGGGTAAGAGCATCGGTTCTGTATCTCAAAGATTTTCATAAACTGCAGACTGGAAAGCAGCATGGAAAACTCACCAACAGGAATCTTATCTTGTCACTGATCGATTGAAGAAGTTGAGGTTGCAATGGACAAAACACGTTGCAAGAAGAACCGACCATCGTTGAACCAGTGAGACATTAAATTGGGTTTTAACGAGAGTAAGCCTCCAGTAGGAAGATCTGCAGATCGATGGCAGGATGGACTGAAAAAATTCGCTGAATCATAATGGATGAAAACGGCGGAAAACACAGTCTATGGCTAAGTCTCGGCAAGGCCTTCATCCATCAGTGGATCGAAGAAAATTGACGATAATTATATAGTAGTGGCATTCACGTAGCCTGTTGTCATAATTTTGCACTTTCATGCCAATTTTAAAACGTGAATCAAAGTCGAATTTTGATTCAGGTTTACCTTTCTTTGCATAATTTTCCCAGAAAAGGTGTGAAAATCATCGGACTCCTGTTTGGATGACAGGATACAAGCAGAACAGTACAGCTTTGAATGAAGAATTGCCAAAAGCGGTCGATTAATCTGAAAGTCCCTTTCCATCTGTCTGGATCCAGTAATTCAAGAGTCTTTTTACACTGAACTGTGAACGGTCAAATCTCCTACCACTTCGACAGGCTGTTAGACCTTTGACCACTACGTATTTGATTCTAGCTGTACTTTTATGGAATCATTTTCGTTATAAAGTAAGTAGACTCTGTCTGTTGTGAGAGTAAACATATTTGGATTTGATTTTGAAAGGCCATAATTTCCTGTTTATTAGCTCCTACATAGCATAAGCATATTTTGCTTCATTTCGTTACCTTTTCTCGTCAGGGTTTCTTTATTAAAGAATATTCATGTGCTAGTGAATATTTCTGGACGAATTCCTAGATGAACAAAGAGGCGGTTGATACACGGCTTCCCTAAATGCCGTAAAAATATGGATCTGTTTGGCTATCCTGATTGTTTGCTAATAATGATTTTGGACACCATGTTAAGATATTTCGTATCACAGCGAATTCAATGTATCACGTGGCGGCGGTCAGTGTTAACCAAAGAATATCTGTATGTTGCCTCGGCGACTTCGCAGTTACTGTAGCAAAGTCGATAGTACTTCAGAAGCCATTAACATTCACAGAAATAGCCGGTGCCAGAAGTAAGCTGTGACTGAAACTGCTAATTCCCAAATCCCCTATTTTCACCCTGTGCGAAAGAAAATTTCAGCAGAATGAAGGTTTACGGGGAAATGTGTTGTATGTCAAAAAATTCGACTCTTGATTGATCACCCCCGATAGAAGTCGTGCCAAACAATGTATCAAGAACGTCGATCTACTTGCAGCATGCTGGAATATGATCTGTGAAAGTCAACGGTGAGTACTTCAGCGAGTTTCGATATATGCTTTATGGTAATCAAATCAGTGCTGATGTACACGTGCAACATGGAACGGTAAAAAATGGAAAGTAATGAGCTAGATGCACATAAACGGTTTCCCAACCCTTATATGCTTAGCATGAGAAAAAGGTAAAAGTTTTTGTAACTGTTGGAATGTCGATCTTCCGTGCAATTTCATAATGGGGCCATTTCTGGCGCCGTCTTTTCATGTAATTAATAATGGAGCGCTGATTCTAGTTTCCATACCATTAGCCAGGAGTGCCTTAGTTTAAAGGCAGAGTGGCCAGCATAGGGTGTAGTTTCTTGTTTCGTTTCCATAATGTGGTACTCATTTATCAACCTGAAGAGGAAGAACAGCGAATGACCCGACATCTGGGATTGCTCGGTTTTGAGTCAGACGCCCTGCCAACTGAGAAACTCCGATCGCTCGTTCATACAGAGCACGATTTCGAACATTATACTAGTTAAAGTTAAACGGCGCTAGAAATTCTGCTCAACATTCGTTTATGTCTGTTTATCCGGTGACGAATTCGAGAAAGTTCCTTTGTGTGCGTGCCGTGAACAGACGATAAACAGCTCGTCCGTATCATTGTTGGTGATAAATCAGAGCCGTACTGAAGCGTGACTAAAAGGCAGATCATAAACGTCGTACATTAACTTCAATAAGGACGAACTGACAAATGGCAAGGCTCGACTGGCACACATCGACCAATCCGAGACCAAGTCGGGCATCAGGGATTGACGTGCAATCGTGAGTGACATTGCGCAGAGAGATGATGGCATGAAACGCTGAGATATACCTCTTATGGCGTCCAAGAAGTCAATAAATCAAGCCAGTTTCTAGAAGACCTTCTTGTGAACGTCCAAAAAATTGGTCCCCTCAATTTCCTGCCATTTCTCTAAGTATTTTGTGATCATTTTAGGCTTTCATTGTTATGTCTGTCATTTTTCCGATGACATACTTGTAGTTTCGTCTCGTGTTCCCTCAGACAGCTGTCATTATCGCCGTTCTTTCTTATGAGGTAGCCAAAATCTCCTTATGAGGTGGCCTTTCTCTGAAAGGGAGCTGATTGTATGGTCGATTTTAAAGGTATCAGCGCCTGGGACAAACCATCATTGCTCTTCGTGGAATTTCATATGACTACGTTCGCATCCTTATGGATAATCTTTATCCGATTTTTGTATGCAGCGCTTCACGAACAGCTTGTATCAACACTGCATATGTTTATCTGGTAAGGAAAATATCAGCCCTAGTGAACTGTTTAGTTGGTGTGAAGTTCATTCATTGATTTGAAAGGAAGACGAGGAGTTGACGGCTTTTCATTCGCGCCCTGCGGTTTTCCACTTCTGCGACAGTTAGGAATTTCTTTTGTTGCTTGTTTATTTTTTCTAATGTTTCTTGCAGTGCTCTCTATGTTTTTCGTTAATGGCCGAGCAGTTGTTGTTGGTGATGCGTTCTTTAGGGCGATTGTGAGGTTTCCCTAATGATTTTCTTCATACGTTGAGTTTTTCTGTTCATCACTGTCAGGTTCATGCTTATGTTCATATCTCGACCAACGGTACCTTTGTAGATTTCCAGTTTGCTACACGGACAATCGTGTGACGAAACGCCGTGTATCATCAACGGATCGCATTAAAGCGAAGACTTGCGGTAATGCGAAAAAATCTTCTGACGAACAGATTCACAGGAAGAAAGGAAGTTCACATGGTAAGGAATGCCGCGGTATGCGCAAGTCTAACAGTCAAAGCAGCGGCATCGATTCTACACGAATACAGCGAACAAATTCCATCAGTGGCTTACGTCCGTCATCCAGAAACAAGACCGACAAAACTGGCTCTCCCGGCGGCGGTAGTAGCAGCAGCACCGGCTCCGGTGTCGAAAGCGGCAGCATTGCTGACAAAGTGAGCTTTGCTTTCCTTTGCTTTGCTTCTTTTGTGTGTGCGTCGTTGTACTCGGCGACTTTTAAGTGCTTTTGCCGAGATTCATCAGACTTGTTCTTTTGGTCGATGTTTTTATGTATATCACGTTTATAACTGTAGTTGCTCATTGCCAGTTTTTCCTCTGCGTTGTGATCTGTATGTTACTGTCCAAGGTGGTAATCCGTGTATACCGGTATAGACTGAAACTGATCAGTGGTTCCGTCAAAGCCGATAATATTGCGGTTTTACTAGATAATTACTAAGCCTCCCCATATGCCTAAGACTAAACTTTTGCTCTGCATGTTTATACTTATGCCA